TTTAACTTTAAACTTTAATATAATTGTAGATTTTTAGATTTTGATATATGTATATTTTGATTTTGTTTTAATAATAATAATTCACCAACTATTGTTATTATGGCAAATGCAGCTAAGTTTAATTCCTTACCTTAAGAAGCCCCAAAGAACGAATTTAGCTGAAGGTAAATAGAAGTGAGTGAACTGTATGCTGGGACATTCTTTCAGGAAGACCCTTGGTAGATTGAAAGTCTCCTTATGCCAAAAGTCAAAAGATATTTAACTTCAAGTGCATACCTGAAACAGAAAAAGGCACCTTAAGGTATCACAAAAATGGTAATACCGAAAAAAAGCATTTGAGTATATTTTTTTACAAACATTCACACATGAGCTTCAATTAAGTTTTATTTGCATATATTGAATGTATGCATAGAAAACATATTCATAGACTCAATAGCAACAATGCAACAAACAATTTGTTGCTTTTAAAGTGTGCATAGAATCTGATACGAGAGAAACAATAAATTTGAAGAAGTGAAAATTATTCAAAGCCAATGAACAAATAAACGTATGTTTTTTAATTGAAGAGATAACAGAGTTACTTAAAGAGGTAAAGCATTTGAGCAGAGCAACTAGCTGAGCTTTAGTATGGCAATTATTGTATGCATATGCATTGAATGAATTCAGACCTTAAATATATCAAATAATCTCACGAATTCATTTGCAAAGTGGCTTTGTTTTAATATCCTTTCAATGGAGCTTTTCGGATAAATTAATGAAAGGCTGAACCGAAAAATAGTTGCGGCTAAAGAATGTGTCAGTGTGTGAGCGAGCATGTGTATGTGTGCGTGGTGTGCGTGTGTGTGTAATAGCTGATGTAATGTGCTGTTGCAGACAGACAATTTATGGCCATTTCTTGTTCAGTGTTAAGCCATTTGGCAATCTGTTTGCTTTGGACTGCATTGACCATTGGCCATTCGCCATTGGCCATTGGGCACTGTAGCCACAGTAGTGTGGCTCGTGTGGCAGCTGTCGAGCGGGCGGCAACGCCTTTTCCAGCTAAGGCGAAATTCATTCATAAAATGACGCTCGACACTTGGCCGGCAGCTTTTCGCATGAATGGCCGCGGCTTAAAGCTAACGGCTTATGGCTCGTGGCTTTAACTGTTGGCCATGTTGGCACATGGCAGATTGATGGCGTCCAGTGCGTGGACCAACATAATTTAGAGTAAACGGATGTGCAGGTGTGTGTAATTGTGTGCACGTCTACGTGTGCGTGGGGCACTGTGTGTGTGTGTGTATGTGGATGAACTCATTTGCATTTGAATGTGTGACGAGATTGCGGACCGGTGAAAATCGAAATTTCAACATGGCTGATGAACCGATTTGCGTTGCTTTTCTCCCTAGCGGCACGGCTGCTGCGCTCTGTTTTTCGATGCGGCTTTGGTTACGAAATGTGGGTTCAGGTATTTGTCGAGCAATTTGAGAGTTTTGTGCACTGTTTTTACCGTTACACCAATTGACGTCACACACTTCTTGCAACGAAAGCTGATTAAATGGTAGTAACGCATTACGAATTACTCATACGCCCCTTGGCCACTCATCGACTATGCCGCATAATGACTGTGATTCAGTCGGGCGTTTCGTAAGCCACAGATCCGCCTGACAGTTGATAGTGTCTAAGGGTGTCGCATATCTCAGCACGCATTCACCTTGAAATGGAAATGGAAATGGAAGACAGTGCAAAAAAAAATGAAAATAAAATAAAATAAAATATAAAAATAATAAAAAAAGCAGTATAAGCCCAGCAATTGTTGACTCTTATTTGTTGTTGTTATTTTCTGCTAAACGGCGTGCTCAAGGCGTGAAGATGGCTCTGACGGCAGGCCAAGCAACCCATACATCATCTATGCATCTCGAACTCCAGTGCCATCGCCGTCTCGCTAGACCATCATCATTTATCGCACATCTCGGACGGACGGGGCTCGTATCCGTTTTTGTTTGCTTTTCGTGTAATTTCTCTTTCATTTCACTTGAGCAATTGAAGCGCGCGCTTATTTGCACTTTTGCTGAGCTCAAATTGTTGACTAATGTGTCACAATTGCAAAGTCAGCCAGCGCTTTTTTTTCCCCCTATTTAATTGTTAGCTAAGTGCGGCAGAGGGAACGACACGAGTGGGGCGATTTTCACCTGCCCTCAGCAGAACGTGCTTATCACTCGATTGCTTTTCACTCTTTATGAGCTGACCCCTTGCTTATGTGTAGATGGGTATTATGATTACTGTTTGATCTGGGCCACACCCACTGACCCACTCTGTGTTCTGAATTTCATTATCTCACATTGTGATACAAATCGCAGTTGATGTTACATAATAACAATAATAATAATAATAATAATAGAAACACCCAGCCACAACAACTATGAAGTCACGAATATGAAAAGTAATTTCAAGGCGCACACATGCGATAAACATAAAAAATATAAAGCACACGCCCACCTGCCCATCTGCCCTGCGGCAGATGAGTCCAGCTGAAGACTGGCAACTGGCAGAGACAACGGCAGGGGCAACGGCAGGGGCTGGCTGAGAGGGGCCACGGGGCAAGGGGCAGCTGAGTAACAGTAGTATGAAAATACATTATAATACACACAACTTTCATTTCTTGCGGCCAAAAACAACCGAAAGCAACAACAAAAAGCGTTCAAAATTAACAAAGGCTGAAGAAGAATATGGCACACTAGTTGCGACTGCTACATATGCTTGGGGCCAGAGTGTAGGCGCGGGGATGGCGGGCTGAGCTGCGCACCTGTTTATCACCTCATGTGTTGTAATCTGTGTAGCTTCAACTCCACTAACGGAAACAACAACAGTTTACGCGAAGAGCAATAACAATAACAATAACTCAACGAAGAATGCTACAGCCAGCACACTCTCTGCCTACGTATGTGTGCGTGTGTGCGTGTGTGCGTGTGTCCGTGTGTACGTGTGAGAGAGTGAGAAGCTACGGAGGCTGCAGCAAATCGTATGCATGCTAGCCTCTGTCTGTGTGCGTGAGCGAGGCAGCCCAAGCAGCGCGAGCCAACGGCAGACAACCTTGGGGCTTGCTCACAATTTCGCTCTTCTGCCTGCTTACGGACGAAACTTTCTCGCGCGCTCACACTCTGCGCCGGCGCCGCTGCGTCAAGCCCTTGCGCAGTCGCCGTCGCTGCTGTTGACTTTCTTTAATGCGGAAGCAGAGGCAGCAACAACAACAACAGCAACAACAACAACAGCTAACAAACGCGTGTGAGCATTTAGCGTTGGCGTCGCTGCTCACCTAATGTGGCTTCTAAGAGCAGAGATGCTGTTGCTGTTGCTGCTGCTGCTGCCCTCTCTCTCTCTCTCTCACTCTCACTCTCTCTCTCGCATCCCGCACGGGTAGGGAGCGGCATTGTGGCCCTCTTATACATATTTGTGTACGCGCTGTCGGCGTCGCTGCCTGGGCCCAATGCTGGGTCGCTCTCTTCTGTCCGGCTCGGTCTCTGCGTGTGTGTGTGTGTGTGTGTGTGCACTTTTTACATAATTTTACGTTATGCCGCGTCGAGGCGTCCGTTAGGTTGAAAACTCTTTAAAAACAGCCTGACTGAGTCGAAAAGTTATCAAACCGCAGCTTGTTCCATTCGAATGAACACACCAGTGAATTCGGTGGTGCTTAAGAAATTCAGTTCAGTTCAAAACAAATCATATTCAGCCATGAAGTTCTTCGTTGCCACCGCTTGTGTCCTGCTTTTGGCGTCCGGCATCTCGGCCGATCCTGTTAAGGCGGCAGCCGCCACCGATGAACAGCCCGGCGCATTTGCAAAGTGCCTGGAAGCTGATTCCATCTCGTGTCTGCAGCTCACGGTACGGATTAACTAACAAGGATTAAACATATTACACAAGAACTTGAACCACAACATCAACATAATCATCATAATCATCAATTAAAGTGAAAGTGCAAATGATATCATCAGCAAGATCGATAAATGAACCTGCAAGTGAAAGTCTTCTAAAGACATGCCAACAAACCATATAGACATCTATATATACATATACATGTTATATAAGTGCAAAGGATGCCCTGGCAGAAGTGAAAGTGCGCCAATCACAATCATTTGGAATATGAACAATAATTGTTAATAATTACCAAATATTTAGCTTGTAGCTTGTGAACCAATTGATCCAACCTCGCTAATTTGTGCTTCCCCCTCTCTTCTCTCTCTTCTTCTCTCTCCATGTGTCTCTCTTTCTCTCTGCAGCTCTACCGCAAGGCCAAGTCCATCTTCGAAAGTCCCCAAATCGAACTCTTCGGCGGCGTCTCTCTGGTCAAGGCCAACGATGGACGTCAGGGCAAATCGTTGGACAATTCTCTTGCCGTTGAGGCCGCACCCACTGTGGAGGCACGCACCGCCGAAATGGGCAACTACTTCATGGACAATGCCAAGAGCTTCTTGTCGGAGCGCTCTCTGAACTTCAACTTCGCCAATGCCGCCCGCAGCGTTGCCCGTGCCATTCCCGATGACATCAAGGCCGATCTCCGTGAGCTGGTTGTTGAGTCGCGTACCCGCAAGAAGAAGCTCTTGAAGAAGTTCCTGCCCATCCTCCTGGGTGTTGGTGCTAAGGTTGCCGTGCTCGCCGTTGGCGCCATCTTCGGTCTGCTCTTCATGGCCAAGAAGGCTCTGATTGTGTCCGTCATCGCCTTCTTCCTCGCTCTGGCTGCTGGCGCCTCCAGCGGTCTAGGTCGCCTGGGCGGCTCTGGCGGCAGCGGCGGTCTGCTCGGCGGTCTGGGTGGTCTCTTCGGTGGCAAGAACGCCGGCTCTGCCGCTGTCAGCTCCGGTGGCTGGTCCTCGGGCGGTGGTGCTGCCAGCGGTGGCTGGTCCTCGGGCAACTCCGGCTGGGACTCGCACGGTGCCTACAGCGCACCCGTTGCCCAGACCATTGCCTACCAGGGCTACAAGCAGGCCAGGCGGTAAATAAACCATGGTCACCAGATGGGAAATTCGCTAACGAAACTACACAAAGCACAAAATGATGACCATTAATGTCTATATTTATAWTTATTTATAAATTATTTATTTTAATTTATTTACCTAAAAAATCAACGTGAACGAGAGCGGGGCCCGCGTGGTCCTCAACCAATTAAGTGCCTTCCAATTGTAATCTCTCACAGCCGAGAGACGTCGAACATCCACAACAATCAATTCCACACACACAACAACAACAAACCAACAACAACAACATCACCATTCAACTTCACTTTTCATCTTTACACGCAGTCAACAACGAAAACCAACAACGAAAGCCAACACCCAATTTCTACACTTCTACACAGCCCAACCTAATTTCACTCTGCACTCAAGACACTACTTCATACTATCTTAACTGTATTTCCACGGCTGCGCTTTGATTTATGTGCACAAAATGCTTTGAACTAGTCGCGCCCATAAATCAAAATCAAAGTCGCCTAAGCTAACTGTCACTGTTTGCTGTCTATCATCAATCTGTCTATCTATCTATCTACATATCTATCTATCTATCCATCTATCTCTCTATCTATCTGTATCTATCTGTATCTATCTGTCTATCTCTCTCTCTCTCTCTCTCTCTCTCTCTCTCTCTCTCTATCTGTATCTGTATCTCATACTCAATCTGTGTTTTCCTGCTCTTACCGAAACGGAAAATTTTAACAAATGCTGCTACATCAAAGAATCAAATAATAATTCCGAAAAATATCAACAAACTGGAAACAATCTTTCATTTCACAATGCCCCGACTTTTCGCCCATTCTATTCAAATTGCAGGCATCACTCATACGCAGCATTGTCTGCCCACAATTTGCATTTTCCTGGCCCTCCACTTTCATTTCATTTCATTTCGTTTCATTTAATGTCATTTCATTCTTTGTTATCAGTCCCAAAAACCAACAAAGATGCTTTCTACAAATTTCACCCACTCACAATATATATATAAATATATGTGTATATTTTTGTGGATCTTCATTTCCATTGCACTTTCCTCGCCCATCTCTCCGCCTCTACATCTCTCTCACTCTTTCTAACTCGTTGCCAGAATACAACAAAGCAATTTGCTAAAAAATAAAACAAACATTTTGGGACTCATTCAATAGGCGCTTGCTGAACGGGGGCAGCCACAATGCAACAACAACAATAATGGCCATAACAATAGACGCACATTTTGCACCTGTCGGTCTTTTATATTCTCGCCTGAGCATTGTTGTACGCTGCTAAACAACAATTTGAAGAAAGTTCCCAAAATACAAAAAAAAAAAAAAAAGAAAAAACACACACAAAAAAAAAATGAAAATTGTAAGTGAAGAAGCTTCCAGCGGTCCGAGCAACTTTGGTTAACTGCAACTGGCCAAGGCGACAGTTAGGGCCAACTGCTGTTGCTATTACAGCTGGGCGCTTTACTTGTGAATATGACCCAGTTAAGAGGCTGCGCACTTGGCCCTTGGCTGATGGCTGATTGTTGATGGCTGATCTCTAAACGCTGATGCTGTGCGTTTGCCATTGCCCTCAACGGCTGATTTACGTGCCGTTTACCGAGCGTCGCCTCTTAACTTGGCTTTCTTCTGACAAACCGGCAATTAATGTGCTGCCGTCTCCGCGTCTGCTTTTTTGAGCATTTAGCAGTTCTTTTCTTCTCTCTCTTGCTCTCTTTCTGTCTCGCTCTCTTGCTGATCATTTGGGCCATTTTATCGCTGTTATATTTGCTTAGCATTTAACATTTTTTTTACAATTTTCTGCTGCCGTTTGTTGCGCTGTTTCTGCCAGTTAACTGCGTGACTTTGCTCGAGTGAAATTTGTGGTGCTGCCACGCCTCAAATCGATTGACATTGTGGGCCAGGTTAACGGCGTCATGTACCATTGTGAGCGTCATCCGGCAAAGCCATTCTAGAGTGTTCGACGTCTGCTCCAGCTGCTGAGGACAATTGAAAGTGAAAGTGTAGCCAAATGGAGAACTCCAATTATATTTTGAACTCACATCTCTGGCTTTATGAACAAATTGAAATTGTTGAAATAAAAAAATTAATTTGGAATATATAATAATACTTGCTATATAAATAATATTATTTTTTTTTCGATTATTCTGTTATTATTTCCACGTTATATTATTGTTCTATTTAAATTGACTTGCATAGCTTCTTTGCCCATTTTTAATATACATACTTAAGGCCGAGTGAAGCTAAAGACTTGATATTACATTCAAGTTTATATCAAGCTGTTATTTAACTGTGAAAACTGAAACAATTTCATATATTATTATACTCATTCACGAAAGTGAATCAGTATATTGGTTTTGTGCAATGTCCGTCTTGCTGTCCGTCCGTCTGTCCGTCTGTCCGTCTGTCCGTCCGTCCGTCTGTCCGTCTGTCCGTATGAACGCAATCTATTTCGGCGCTATTGAAGCTAGAGACTTGAAATTTGGAACACATACTCGTGTATATCTCCGATTTATAAAGTGTTAAAATTTTNATGGCAGAGACCTCAAATTTTGTATATATACTCGGACTGATCACCCAAGACCAAAAAGTTTTGTCGGATATATGTCCGCCCACAGGGGGCGTGGCAAACCGCAAAAGTTTATATCTCCTAAAGTATAATAGCTAGAAGCTTCAAATTTGGATAGTTGAGTTACTGGTAGCCTCCTCTATCGATTCCCCAAAAATAATTTTTACGCCTCTTTAGGGGCGTGGCATATCGAAAAATACCCTGTAATTTTCACATTTTTTTAGGGTAAGCATTCAAACTTTGCAGTTAGGGTAACGTTATCTCTTTCTAAAAACTGACCAAAAATGAGGTGTCTACGCCCAGTTGGGGCGTGGCAAATCGGAAAAACCTGTATATTCTACAGTATTAGAACGAAACTTAACTACTAAATTGTTGATGGGATGTGAATGAGTATTCCGCAGTCGGTAACGCCCGACTGCAACGTTCTTACTTGTTTTTGTTATACGCTAGAACCATTATGAGTTTAGATAGCAAAGCCGTGACAGACCTCATAAAGTACCAAAATATATTCTTGAGCCGAACAATGAGCTAAATTAATCTAGCTTTATCAGTTTATACGCAACGATTCATATCATACGCAACGATTTATACCATTCGAAACCTTTTCCCCTATTAATATACACTATAAAATTGTATAATTTGTAATATTTTTTTAATTAAGGACACATTTGATACTTCAGAAGGATTTAGGTATGCATAAAAGTTGGATTGAAATATCATTTCTTGTCAGGGTTTTGGGGGTTCCTGGCTATAGCACACATATTTACAATAATTAAGCTTAACTTCTTTATAAACGGACTGGGGTGCTCGAATTGCTTACAAATATCCTGGTCAARCCTCAGGCGTGCAGCACGTATAGCCACAGCTTTAATATTAAAGCATACCAAGAAGCTGAGAATTTTCGAGCTGCGCCTTAAAGCACGCTCCTCAAAGAGCGCATTAGTGAAGACGCAGCTTAAAGCTTAGCAAATATTTAAAGCACAGCTGAGTGCGGCTTTCTCCAGGTACAGCTTTGGGCCCAGCTAAAAAGTAGACCACGAGCTGTTGGGGTCTGCGTGAACAGTCGCACCACAATAGCCACTGTTAACTAGTTTTTATGTGGTGGATTTGGGCTGCGGTTTAGGTCGTGGATGCCACCATTTCAGCTGCAGCTGTTGCTCTTGCTGCTGTGGTTAGGCTAAAAAGCTTTCGACCAAACAAAAAATGGTTTGAGGCTTAACATTTGGAATGCGTTGCACGTGCGACTTTGTTATGGCCTTTTATGGTCTAAACAACTGCACAAAGGCAGTAATAAACCACAGCCAAAGAGTGGTGCTACAGTTGCTGGTGTGGTTGCTGTGGAGCTGCTGTTGTTGTTCGTGTTCATGTTGTTGTTGTTGCTGCTCGCTGCCCCGTGCGCTTTTCCGGTTTGCGGTTAGCGCTTGGGCATGGGTCAATGCACACTTTACGGATTTGGCTTTGAAATGCTGGCCATTTCACTGCACAGGTAGCCCAGGTGCTGCAGAGGCAGCGGCAACACCAGCGTGTGTGAAAGTGTTGCAATATGCGACGACTATTAGCCAGCTAGCATTAATTCAATATGCCCAGGCTGACATTGAATAATACGAGCAGCAATAATTCAATATTTGTACAGATACAAATAGTGCGTAGTGTAGTGTAAAGAGCAGTTGTTCGGACAGCACTCTACATCCACGCACACACACGCACACTCACATACAGCTAGAGTTCGTTGTGCGTCTATAGATGTGTGAAAGTTGTCAGTTTGGCACTTTTATTGTCAACAAATTAACAAATGTACAAAACGCATAAACGAGCGTATAAAGCCGCTAATGATCAACACTGATCAGTCGGACTGATCATAATGATCGCACTGATCATAATGTCGTTGACAATGACAATGAGCATAACGTTCACCTAACTGTCCAGCTGTTTTGATCTCCATTGCCAGAGCGTGCCACAAAAGTGCCCGCTGAGCGAGCGGCTCATTTGGTCAACAAAAGAACAAACGCAACTTTGTTAACATCAAATCGAAAGTGAAATGCCATATTTGATATGTCGGCGTGTGCGTGTGTGTGTGAATGCTGATCATAAAGATAACGACAATTTTTTTAATGAAATGAAATGCCTTGAAAGTGAAACCTGTGCAATTAAAAGCAGAGCGGCCAGCTGCCACGCCCAGCTGCTTGCCCACTACTTTTTTTTTTCGTTTTTTTTGTTCGTTGGCTTTCGCTTCTTCATTTCGCAGCCCAGTTGGTATTACACAATGTGGGCGTGGCTGCACAATAGGGCGTCAGAGATTTGCATTTCTGTGCGGGGTCGCTTGAAGTTTTCATAAAATTTCCAAATGCGACTAGGCCAAGCGACATGGGCGAACTGTAGATACCCTTTACTGCAAATTTGACAGAGGTAAAGGTGGATTACATACCCTGTAGTATAGGAGAAGATGAGAGACAGCAGATGCTAGCATATATATATATAAGAGTAGATAACCGATTTGAGGATACTCTAGAGAGCATTAGTTACTTTTAACTCTGTAATAATAGCTAAAAGAGAGAGATCGATACTACTGGAATGTATAGAAAATAAAGGAAGTGAATATATATTAGAAAAAAAAACCCAACACGACTACTGATACCCTGTAACATTTTGAAACTATAAAGCAGCATTAATTTGAGAATGCAATAAATATTTATATATATTTTGTGTTTATTAAATGGAAATATTTCCTATCAACTATATATTGTATAATACCCTTTCATATACACTTTCTGAGAGTAGGGTATTTGAAGGAAAAAAAAACAGAGTCGAATCTGAAACTCGAAAGAAATGATTATGAAGTGGAAACTCTCACTTTTACGATTATTTTTCTTCTACATAGCTTTCGGTCGTCATTGCCAGTTTTAGAGTTGTTGCTATTGTTGTGTTTTCTTTTGTTATTATATCTTATGTCCCATAATGATATTAGACTTTCGCAGTCGCAGTCGCAGTGTCGGCCTCAGTCTCAGTCGCAGTTTGTGTGTTACAG